GTGTGTGTTGTGTGTTTTGTTGGTGAGTGAGTGTCGACGCGTGATCCGGAGCTGAGAAACAGATAACTCAACACTCTAGTTTCATAAGAGAGGAGACGCCATCCTACACGAGATATAGACTGTGGCGGTATAACTGTGGCGTCTGCTCTAGGTCACGTTTGTGGGCTAGTTGGTCCTTTTAGCCTGCGTTGCACGCGTCTCGCGCGATAGTATGTAAGTAATCAGTAAGTATGGTAAATGTGATAGTGAAATAGTAATAGTGATAGGTAATAGACATAGTAACCAATTATAGGTAATAGTAATAGTATAATAGTAATTAGTAATGATAATAGTAATACGTACAAAGTATATAGTATGTAATTAGTAATATGTAATTTGTAATAGTAATAGGTAATCAGTAATAGTAATCAGTAATGTAATGAGAAATAGTAATGAGTAATGAGTAATGTAATAGTATAGTTAAGTACTAGTAATAGTAATAGTAATAGTAATATAATAGTAATTGTAATAGTAATAGTCGATAGTTTAATAGATATAGGTTATAGTATAGTTAAATATAGTAATCAGTTATGTAATAGTAATAGTAATATATGTATAGTAATAGTAATTAGTAATCGTAATGAGGAATGATAATCGTAAGTAGTAATAGTATTAGTATAGGATAGAGAAATAGAATAGTATCAACTAATTTTCAGGGTTCTTGCCCCTTCATGAAGATTCCCATATTATTAGCCAGTTACAGGCAAAAATTCCCATAGGATTAGTTGTACCGAGTCACGTCGCAGCACGCACGCATACCGCATGACATGCACGCACACACGCATCACACGCATACATGCACGCACACAGCGAATACAACTGCAGAATGCATATCGAGGAGTAGATATGATCCCTATTATCTACTTCCTGATGCATATTCCATCGCCACAGAACGTACATAACATCAAGAAGTAGATAACTAACGTTTATTGTATAGTAAATGTTTCTCTTCTTGATAACATGGTAACATCGTATGCACGCACACACGCACACGTACATATACTCAACATCGATACAAGACAGGCGGAGTGAGCACGCGCAACAACGCGTGCGCGCACACACACACAGCACACACAACGCACACACACACACGCACACCACGACACCCACAACACACACACGCATCACGAGCGACACTCTTGGTCTCCACACTGCACACACACACACACACACAACACACAGCACCACACACACACAGAACGCCACGTTCGCAAGCGGCGAACACACCAGACACGCACACACACACCAGACAACAACACAATACCGCACGCACACACATGCGTGCGTACGCGCGTTATCAACGGGTGTTCGCAAACTAATACAAACACCCGCGCACGCTTACGCACGCGCCCTAATACAATATTACGCGCACAGACAAACACACACGCGCGCACATGCACGCATGCGCACACGCACACGCATATCCTGACCCTATATCATATAAATAAATTTTTACACTGCCACTGCTCTCGATCTTACGCTATACTCGTGATATAAGGTATACGAATATTAACATTGTAAGGTGCTCGCTCGTTGTGGAGGCATAATGTCGCGTAGACAAGTCCCTGTCATCCTCCCTATACCTGCTCATCCAGGTCTGGTTCATTCTAGGAGGCAGCTATATCCTGAAGTCCAAGAATCGGCTGCAGCTAAACTCGTTTTCCGGTGCGGGATTTCCGCACGCTTCTCTCCCACTTATATCCGTTCGACTGGCTTGCTGCGCAAATGGCAGCCGTTTTGTGACAGAAATACGCATCCTGTTATCATCCGATGCCATGGTAATGTCATATAGCGGCGAGATCGTGCAAATCGTGATTCGCGAACTACTTCATGGCACGCTAACTAATTAACTAATTTATACTATAACCCGAAACATGCAAAATACGATGAGCCGCCGTGAACCAAAAAACGTTCTACATTCTACCGCAATAGTACCAGCTATCCAGAATCACATCTACACGTAATCTAACATGTCAGATATAATTTACTGTCGTGAGCGTTTAGCTAACTAATAAATGATTTACCATTTATTCATGGACAGTTTCGATATTGCTTATGGATGTCGCGTTAAATTGTCCTCGATTGCAGTCACGCTGGCGCGTGGGGAGCCGCTGTTCTTGCGTGCAGCATCTGCCTACCAAAAGCACCGCCAATAGACCGTGGGCGCCGCGTGGATGTGAAGTAGATGACAGAGAGCAGACAATGGTGACTCTCTGCATACGCGGCCAACGCGCACGTGCATGCACGCGTCCAGACGTGTAGATGGTCGGTTATGCAGGAATTCCGTATCGCGAGGCAATGTCGCTTGATAGGGCGCGATGTACGTCTCGTGTTTGACGTCGATCATATAGACGTATTAGTGTTAGAGTTAGTGTTAGAGTTGATGTCAGTGTTGTGGTTTTTGTTAGCGATAAGGTTAGGGATATCGGTAAGGATAGGGTTAGGATCACGGTTAGGATTAAGGCTCAGGGTTAGGGTTGGGGTTTATCAATGTATTAAGCTTAAGGTTAGGGGAGGGATAGGGTTAGGGTTAGTGTTAAGGTTAGGGTTAGAGTTAAGGTTAGGGATAGGGTTAGGGTTAAGGTTAGGGTTAGGGTTAGGGTTAGGGTTAGGGTTAGGATTAAGGTTAGGGTTAGAGTTAATGTTAGGGATAGGGTTAGGATTAAGGTTAGGGTTAGGGTTAGGGTTAGGGTTATGGATATAATAACCGTTTAATCTCACAGGCCTCACTATTGACCATGTTTCTACAAATTTATATGCTTGCATGTTATTATATATTTTTTATTATTATATTTATTTATATTGCGACTTTTTACATAAAATGATCAAAAGCGCAGCACATCAATATCGCAACGACTAAACAATAAAATTAAAGGATAATAAAAGAAGTGTACATGCATATATCGATACTGCGAGATAAAATGATGTTAAAATAAAGATGACTATGTAATCACTAACATCCTATATAAAATCTAGAATCTAGAATCTAAATCTATACATCACTAATAACCGAGGTAAAATCCTCAAGGTACGAGGTACATCAAAAGCTAATTTAAAGAGATAGGTCTTAATGCCAGCTTTGAAAGTACCTAGTGTTGAAATATTGCGTTGGAATAATTATATCCTTTGACAAAGTCTCTAGAAGCCAAGACCGGCGAACCTATACTGATCAGAAATTGAGCCATCTACCATCTCAATTATTCACGTAAAATAATCGCACTTTTAACCGGAACTCGCTTATTTTTACAAAACGATAAGTATTTTGCCTTTAATCTGTCACCTAATTACGTATGACCAATCAGAAATAACACGACGTTAGATTAATTGTTCAGCCACGCTCGAGGTGGATATCATAATTGTTAAACGTTAATTAGTTAAATTTTAGCTCCAAATAAATTTTCTCTCATTGTAGCAGATAATCTGCTCCTAATTGCTAAACATTAATGAGGCTGAGAGGGTCTATGTCCCCTAGGGTACTGCCGGAACGTACCCTGGGTACGGTCCGGTATACCGGAACGTACCCTGGTACTATCTAATATGCCGGACCGTACCTTGCCTACTCCACTAACGAGTCTAGGGAGTCGCCTACGCCTACTCCCTAACCCTAACCATAACCCTAACCCTAACCCTAACCCTAACCCTAACCATATCAAATAGTTACGTTCCGGCAGTACCCTGGGAGACATAGACCCTATGAGCATTAATGAGCTAGGCATGATGAGATCGTCAAATGATATCATGGCAATTGGAGCAGAAGGAAACGAAACTGTGGCTGCGAAAATGCGTTTTGCGTGTGCGATAGGAGTTAGGGTTTACTCTAGTGCGTTTATTCAATGCGTATGATAGGCAAGCAGCAAAGTGCAATGAATTGATTGACAGGTAATCCTATTGTTTACACTGGAGAGGTGAGTCTAGTGTCATCACTTCACTGATCTAAGCTATAAATTTTGCTAGGGCTGGCCACACTAAAGTTTCTGAGGTTATGCGCGCTCCCTTTCAATTCCTACTGCAAACGGAATGGTACATCGATATGGACAAGCACACACGTACACGCACGCGCAAGGGCGCTCACGCCCACACACATTATATTCACATACATACATATGCACTCACGCGCATATTGTTCGCTGACAACAATTGCTAAGGAGCATCTCATTGTGCATGGGTGTACAGCGAGATTAATATGATATCATAGCATCTGCTCTAATTAAGAACATAATTACCTCATTAGCTATTAATCGGTAATTAAGGCTACATTAAATTATGCACTTAAATTAAGTTATACGAGTACACAAATTACTGGTATTTTTAATTAATACCGGCAAGCCTCACATTCCTAATAGATGCCGTATTTTTTTTAATGTCGAGTTTGATGGCATGTAAACTTTTACGGTGGGGTATATATATGATCGCGTCCTATTACGTAATGTATCACATTACGTGACCATATTCGATACCCCGGATTACGGATTCTCTAATTGACGAGGGATGTCACGACTAGACATTGCCTTGACCGTCACACTGACTACACGGAGGCTAGCCGCGACAACGTCGGGATGAGATAACGCACGTTGATCATGTTCGCGATGTCTACATGAAAGGCGGCCGCCCGTCAGTTTCCCTCCCGCGCCTTCCGTCAGACGCGAGCGGCTACGTGCCGCCGCTCGCGTTCACCATCGTGTCGATGCCAATCAATAATACCGCCGACAGAGGCGAATACACACACACACTCGACGTTCGCGCCGTCTGGCGGCCCGCGGCCGTCGCCGACGCGTCGGCAGACGCACAGCCCCAGTTGCCGACAAAGAGCGGGTGGTGTGAGCAGCGTCGCACGTCGGGCCGACCTCGCCACGCTGCCAGCATCCGGACACGTGCGCGCGCGTGCAGTCGTAGGCTGGGTAATAAGGGCTGTCGCTCCTGCGATGCGATGCGACATACTTCAGGGAACTTGTCAACCGGCGAGCGGAGAGTATATCTGGGCATGCGCTGATGCGCACACGTCACACGACATCTCTAGGAAGCCGAGTGTCGAGGTTTGATGTTTGACATTGCGCCGAAACACCTACGTCTACAGCTCATGTAGATATTCTGCGTATTTAGCTGCTCTGTTGCCATTACATGAAACAGGCGTTTTGAGCGAGTTGGGAAAAAGCGACCGCGCGTCTTGCTGAAGGTAAGTTCCTTACCAGTTATTTACGTTTGAGGGACAGAATGTGTTGTGTAAGTCCAGTGTCATGTGTGATTATGCCAAGTGCGTTGACTTTAGTAAGATTATAAAAAGTGTGAGAAGAGGAATAATGTGGGTTGGGATTATATGACACCTAATGTACGTTTACGTGCATTAGTTGCTGCGACATTGGTGTTAGGGCCGATATCTAAGCTAGAAACACAAGCGATGATATATAATTTCAGGAGTGAATAATAATAGATAAACTATTATAATAAATAATATTAATATAATAATAATAATAATAATAGATCATCTATTATAATAAATTATATTAATATAATAATAATAATAATAATAATAATAATAATAATAGATAATCTATTATTAAATTGACTACGTCACGAATTTTCTATGGTAAAATGTGTAAAAATTTTGTTGCCATTTTTTTACATTAAAAGTAAGAACTAACGGGACTAAACGTATCGTCAAATTCTTACCTGATTAGTTTCTCAACTAGTTAAAAATCCAAAAAACCTGGACGATTTGATATTGTGTTCCTGACATTAATTGCTTGCTATGGGCTATGTATGAGTCACGAGTGTATATGTTGACATCGAACAATATAGTAAAATAAGAAGTATATAATGCAGAAATTTAACCATAAAAAGTGAACAGAATTGCTTATATTTTCTGAAAAGTGGAAATATTCTTTATATTTTTTTATATTTACGGTGACGTAATCACTTTAATCACTCCTGATCATTTCTATAACAGGTGTACATGTACTACATCGCTCAAGTATGCGTATAGTGTGTTGGTGTAGTATGTTGACGCGTGGAAACGGTTTTGAGTTTTACCGCTGCTGATGTCTTCATCTTGTGTTCTAACCCCGTTTTGTCAAAATTTAAAACATTCCACTGTCGTACAAGAAACACTATGGAGAAGACAAAAAACGAAGTGCAGTGAAATCACACCCCGTAGTGCTAACACAGTTTTCTTGTTTCAAATGACACGATACAAATCTGCCTGTCATTCAATATCTAATAGCCTGATTCGATTACCGCGAAGCAGCGAGTATATAGGCTAGCGTGTACCGACCGGACCCGCACGGAATGGCCGGTAAGATACCCCGAAACACAGTGTGCACATCACTGTCTTCCCACATCATCTGCCTAATGTACTTCCGAGAATGAATCACACCTAGACATTTCATAGCCGATGGTTTGCTTCATCACTAAACCGCATTTATTGCGAAGAGTGGCTGCCCTTTCAGATCATTATCGGCAACAAATAGCATTTACACTCCTCTGCACACACCCCACTTTTTTGTTCGGATACCTACGATTAAGATGCGCTATCCGGCGTCTCTGTGTGATCATCGCTACTCGCGCGGTGATTTACCTCATTAAAATAAGAGCAAAAGAGGAGAGCTCAGATTATCAGTGCACATGCATGACGTCGTCTGGTTCATGATTAGGTGTCACATATCTACCGTAATCACTCCATCATTAGTTCGGCCTTCATTTGGTCTCGGTTGGCTGAATCACATCTTATTAGCCTCGCACTTGCAGACACGGTTGATTATTCTGGCGCTACGTTGTCATTACATGTCATCTTCGGTAAACAGCGAGGTTTAAGGAACGCCGGCGCAGGGGGTGCACAAGTCGCCGAGATTCTTATATATAATATATAAATGGTTTCTTATATATAATATATATAATATATAAATAGTTTCATATACATCGCAGTTCGAATTTCAGCGAGTTCTCGCGCGTGCGCCGAAGCACCTACGCGCGATTTTTTTCGTCGGTGAATTTAATTCGGTACTGGTTCGTCATTATGCGATGTTAAAGTAGAGAATTGTATACCGGCTGTGGAGGTTTACTCCTTGTAAGATAACGAGATCCGATATCATGTTGTCCGGATACGCAGGGCTGGACAGTGTATAAGAACATGCTACGTGCACGAGGCTTCCTTCATGATCAAAGAAAACTGTTAGATGGCAGAGCTAAATAGCCTCACTAGCCAAGAAAATTCCACGTGGATATGCATCATCCTCGCGCTGAATTCTGCGTATCTTCTTGTCATGCGTTCATCCTGCTAGATTTCGTCACATAATCAAACTACCCCCTATATATAAATAGATAGATAGATATTCAGTGTTGGAGCGTGGATACAGTTTTCGGTTCATGGAAACACGCGTGACCTCGCTGGCGAACTTTCTATTCTGTAAGAATATTGACCAGGAGCCAGTGACCGGTGATGTCTGGACCTACTGATTAGAGTTGTAGCAGAATTCATTTTGTCTGGGCAGTTGAGCGTTCAGCCTATTCTGCTAGCATCTATTACAAATACGACATACGCATATACGCTCTCCTATGACACTATTTGTCATAGGAAGATTCTTCCTATGACAAATATTGTTGTATTGGTTGTGCGCATCATAGGAGTTTAGGAGCGCTATTATGAACGCAAGCAGTGAATTTCAGCTGTAAAGCGGAACGAAGTTGACTCGCCAATATTTGTCATAGGAAGAATCTTCCTGTGACAAATAGTATCATAGAAGAGCGTATATGCGTATATCGTATTTGTCATAGATGCAAGCAGAACATGTTGGAGCGTTAGCAACTGCCAAGGTTTATAGGGCAACTGCCTTCCCGCGCCACCCACTAGCTATGGTCTTGCTGATCCTCACGATTCGCTCTACCCAAATAAGTGTTGAGATCTTTCGCTAAAAACTTAAGCTTTCTTCTTGTATTAAATCTTTATAGATTGATAACACGGCAGGAATAAGTCTATCCCCTCTATTTAACAAGTACGTACGACACTGTCAGAGAGTGGGCATGCAGACGACAGCAGACACTGCCCTATTATAACTGATATGTGAATTGCGAGCGAGAGGAGCATCTTTGATACACACGTGGCATTGTCGCGGGTTGGCGGCGGCCGTCGTCGGGAGTGGGGGCGGCAGCAGGACGTTGTGGCGGCACGGCTCTGGTCGCTGGCTACCAGCGGACGCCACCGGCGGGCCCGCCACCTGCGCAACCGCACGCCCAGCTGTTTTACTCGTTTGTATCGGCGTGCTGGCTTTGATGTGGCTCGGGCTCTCAGTTTCTCAGTGCTAACTACGGGTGGCTAATACCTTCTTAACCGTAGACAGTGATGTAACTTTTCACGTGGTCACGCGCGTAACACCCACTTTAATTTTCTGGTTTTTTTTGTCTATTTATTTATTTGTTTGTTTGTTTGTTTATTTATTAATGTATGTATTTATTTATTTATTAATGTATGTATTTATTTATTTATATAGTTATTTATTTATTTATTTATATATTTATTTTTTAGATTATGGCTATGTTACTATGTTTGTCGTTGGTTACTCAAGATAATAATTAATATCTTATGATAGGAACTAATTAAAAATAAAACTGACACAGCATTTATATATAATCAAGAGTGCATAATAGAGATCTCTATTATGCACTCTTGATATAATTATGCATGGCGAAGTGAAATTTTATAGGAGGCGTTTTTGGGCGCACAGGTTGTCGTACTTATCATGTCTCTGCATCTGCTAGGGAACGGAAGGTCCCAGTGTGCGGATATAGTTTCGCAAGCATCGTCCACCGCTTGTTATTTGATAGACATAGAGAGTGTGCACTTCTGGGATAGCGTGTACGGGGTAGCGGATGCCATCAGTCATAACCTTTAGCTTATGATGACACATGGGATGTCCGATATCGACGTAGGTATCAAAATCTAAAGCGCAATCGTTATATATATTATTATATTAGGGCGTGAGCGTGCACGCGTGTGTGTTGGGTTTGCTGTGAGGTTGCCGTGTGTGTGCGTGCGCGTGCGCGTGTGTGTGGGGTGGGTGCGCGTGTGTGTGTGTGTGAGAGAGAGAGAGAGTCGTGCTGTGTTGGTGTCGTGGTGGGTGTCGGGCTGGGTGTGGGTGCGGGGGGCGGGTGCGTGAAGCGTGAACGCGTGTGTGTTGGCGCTTTGAGCTGTGAGGTGTGCCGTGTGTGTGCGTCCGGCGTGCGCGTTGTGTGAGGTGGTGTGTGTTGTTGTGTGTGTGTGTGTGTGTGTGTGTGTGTGTGTGGAGGTTGTGAGAAAGAGAGAGACGAAGAGAGTAAGAGAGAGGAGAGAGAGTGTGTCGTGTGTGTGTGTGTGTTTGTGTGTGTGTGTGTGTGTGTGTGTGTGTGTTTGGTGCTGTGTGGTGTGTGCTGTGTGTGTGTGTTTGATGGGTGGGTGGTGTGAGGGCGGTGGGATGCGTGAGCGTGACGCGTGTGTGTTGGGTTGCTGTGAGGTTATGCCGTGTGTGTGGCGTGCGCGGCAAACGTGTGGTGTGGTGGGTTGTGTGCGTGCGGCTGTCGTTTTGCGTGCGTACCTGGTGGGTTGCGCGCGTCGTGCGTGCATGTGCGTGAGTGTGTGCCGCTGACCATTACAGTCGCCCCAACATCATCATTCTATTAGGGCACTTAGCACAACTCCCCACCAAGCCCCATACAATAGAAATAGGTACCGACTACAGCGGCGCAAATTATTTTCTGGGAGAAGTCGCAGTGTTGACGGGAAAACAGTTCCAGCATAGACAACACGTGGCTCGGTACTCAGCTCGTCGTGCTCCGGACCTGCGGTCCAGGGCAGGCAGGATCATGTTCATCCCCAACAACATCCTGAAAATTTTCTGCGCGAGATGTGGGAGTGGTGGGGTTACAGGGGCATGGCCACACCCGTCTTCGCAAGAGAGTTGAATAATAGTGCAGAAGACGGAGTGAATGGAAACGCGCAGCAAGTCATTTCTTCGCTTTTTCGATATCTCGCCCGCCTCCCCCCCACTCCTTTTAGGCTGAAAAACTTGGTGTGTGTCTGATTGCAGGTTAATAAAATGTGTTCTTAGTGATGCAGTTATAAAGATGTTTACATGACCCCGTTGTTATGATCGTTTCCATTACAGTTGCGGTATCTGGTGCCTGGGGCATCGAACCAGTACGACCCTC